ACCAGCGGCTCTAGTTTGTGGCCGCACAGAACCAGCTGGAAGAAGCACCTTCCGTAGGCTGCAGTGGAGCGAGCAGTTCAGCCCGGGGGCTCCATGGGGCTGGGGCGAGGGCGAGGGGTCGGGGAGGCTCCGGGGGCTGGGAGCTCCGGGGGCCAGAGCCGGGGGCGGGGCAGAGGGCTGGCACCCTCCCCCCTGCACACCCTCCCTGGTCGGCGGCCGCGCCGTGCTTCACCGTCGGAGCTGAGCGCCAGGCGCACGTAGACCAGGTGCATAGGGCCCTGACACACGGTGCGGCCCTGGATGGAGAAGTGGTACGTGCCCCGCGCGTGGTTCAGCACCAGGCGGCGCCGTGCCAAAGACGAAATCATGAGCCACAAGCCCACGGCCAGGCCGCACGCGGGGAAGCCCCAAGTCTCCTGCTTCCGCACCTGCCGGAGCCGCAGGGACCTGAGCAGCCAGGGGGCGGGGCCGGGGCGGGGCCATGTGCGGGGCCCGGGCGAGGGGGGCGCGGCCGGGGAGCGTCGGGGCGGGGCCATGCGAGTGAGGGGGCGGGGCCAGGGTGAGGGGCGGGGCCAGGGTGAGTGTCGGGGTGGGGGCGGGGCCGGGGCCGGGGCCGGGGCCGGGCGGGGCGCGGCAGGCCCCAGGAGGCCGGCTCTGCGCTGGGGCGCGGCCGGGAGCTCAGACCTGGCTCACCACGCCGAAGCTGACGAGGAGGAGGCAGACGACGAAGAGCAGCGTGCCCTTCCACAGGGTGTCCAGGTAGTACTCGAGCACGAAGACTGCGGGCAGCGTGGCGGCGGCGCGTGAGGACGACCGGGCCCTGCCGGCAGCGGGGGTGGCAGTGCCAGCGCTCGGGCCGGAGCAGCCGCCGCACGCAGGGCCCCGGGGCGCGGTCAGCATCCAGGCCGCACGCACATCGGATCCCCGCCCCGCGCCCCCACCCAGGCCGCCGCTCCCGGGGGTTCAGGGGGCGCCCCGGCCCGGCCCGCGCGCACCGTTGGGCTGCTGCTGGGTGAACGGGTAGAAGCTGTTGTTCTTCAGGCGCTTGGCCAGGTGGCGCTGGGTGCAGAAGAGCCCCAGGGCCCAGAGCTGGAAGCGCTTGCCTCCGGAGGTCGTGGGCAGGCCGCTAGCCCGGCCCTTGGGGGCCTGCGTTGGGCACAGAGGGTCAGCGGGGCTCCCGCAGGCCGCCGACGCCCCGGGCTCAGGGTCACGCCGGTACCTGGGACGACAAAGCCTCCAGGACTGCGGTCCAGGAAGGAGCGTCTGTAGGACAGAGGGCCTAGGAGCGCCTCGGCGGGTGGTCCTGGCTGGGCGGGCCTGGATTCTAGAAGCTCTGGGTAGCGCGTTCTAGAAGGGGCTGTTCTGTTCCTACCTCTCTGTGGGGAGTGCCCACACCACAGAGGCCCCCTGCACCGCCCAGTTCACAGGCCTCGCCTCAAGGGCGGGTGGCCAGACATCCCAAGCCTGCACCGGAGGTCTGCAGGCAGGCACTGCACACTGGACCTCCCGGCTGAGCAGGGCCGCCCTCACCCCATGGCCACTTTTGCCCAGGCGGAGCCTCAAACACAAGCACAGACAGCTCACCCCCTGTCCCTGAGGGCAGGACACACACATTCCAAGATTCAAGCACTTCGGTCAATCAGCAATGCACCCCTACCCCCACCCTCAGGATCCCAGCAGTTTTAGCCTTGAATGGTTCCTGCAGGCACAACACCTGGCCTCTCATCCCCACCTTAAGGACCACACAGAGTTCCTAAAAATGTTTTATTGTTTAAAAAAATGCTTAAACATCCAAAACGTGGAAAGGGTGGCAGGCACCGCTGACTACCTGAGGGCTGGGGGTCTGGAGCTGCCTAGCTGGAGGAGGGGAGGCTGGTGAGCAGCTGTTCCAGGCACCACTGGACTTCCTCCTGGCCTCGGTAGGCCCGCTTCAGGCCCCGAGGAAGGCAGCGGCAGGACTCCAGGTTGAGATAGAGCAGGCCTGGGCAGCTGCTGATCACAGAGCTGTGGGGGCAGGGCACACCATGGGGAGTCGAGCCGCTGGTTCCCAAAAGACCCAGGCCCCACTGGGGCTCGGCCAAGGTAAGAAGCCCTCTCTGCCCAGGCGCCACACCTGGCTCTGCCACCCACAGCCACCGAGGCCCAAGCCCAGTACCCTTGGTGTCCCTAATGTCCATCCTAAACAGGAGCTTGGCCAACACGTGCTCCCCTTTTGCGCCCTGAAACTTGCAAGCCATACTGACTCCAAGAGACCAGGAATGGGGATGCTGACCTGACTGTGCTTGGTGTGACCCGGGTGCCCCTGAGGTTGACAGAGCATAAGGCTGGGTGTGAGCCCCCGGGGGTGGCTGAGAAGGCAGCCAAGGCCTGCTCCAGGTCTTTCTCACTGAAGGCCTGGCCACTCAAGTCCAGTTCCCGCAGAGTGTGGCGCCACTTCTGAGTCAACAGGTGGCTGCCCTCTCTGGCTAGAGTCAAGCGATCTGACGTGCCATAAAGACCCAGGTGAAGCTGTTCTAGCTCTGCAAGGGAAGAGTGGTCATGAGTTGTGGGGCGGCAAGGGTGCCCACATCCCTCCCACCCAGCCACCACCCAGAGAAAGCTGACCCTGACACGGCAGATCGTGCAGGCCGGCAGGTGTGATGCGGGCACAGCCACGAAGATCCAGCAGGCGCAGGTTAGGAGAGCCGTGGAGCAGGCGGCCCAGGGCCTCGTTGCTTACAAAGTTGCAGGTGGAACCAGCGAGGCAGAGCTCCTCGAGGCTGGGGAAGCCTGGGCCAGGAGTCACCACTCGCCCGGAAGGCTTGGGCAGCCACATCAGGTTTAGGAGCCGCAGCACCTGGAGCGAGGCCCAGGCTGCAGATGGGAAGGGAGGGTGGTAGGTGGGAGAGGCGGGGTGTCAGGTACCTGCAGCTGGGGGCAGCCCTTCTGCAGCCCCTCAACAGGCAGCTGGAGAGGAGTGCTGCTGCGGTTGATGCCGGTGCTCACCTCCAGGACCTGGAGCTGGGGGCAACAGCTGCCCTGCAGAGGTGGAGAACAGACTCAGCGGCCAGGCTGCGCCGGGCTCAGCATCCCGCTCTGCTGCCACCCGTCACCAACCTACCAGAAGTGCACCCAGGATGGCTGTTGTCTGGGAGCTGTAGGTCAGCCACAACTTGCGCATTCGGGGCCCTGCCTCCTCCAAGAAGCTCACCACGGCTGTGGACTCCACCTGGGAACCCAGCACATGGGTACCCATCCCTTTGGCCCAGGCTTCTTCAGGGCCCCTGGGGACACAGGGCTCACCATGGAGTGCTGTATGTCCAGGCTGTGGAGCTGAGGACAGGCTTTGGCTAGCATAATCAGGGTGTCAGAGGTTACACCATGGCTATCAGAAAGCTTGAGGAAGGTGAGCCGAGGACAGGACTCGCTAACCAGCTGTGGAAGACAGAGTACCAGCAGAGATTGGGAGAGGTCATGTGTCCACAAAGGAAGAAACCAGTGGCCGACACCAAACCCTCACTACTGCCTCAGCTATGACCTTCTTTCTGCCCACAGCAAGTCAACATGGTGCTCCCAGTTCTGACACCTCCCTGCTGAAAGAAACAACAGGAAAGGAGGCCCAGGCAGGCATCCCCGTGGGGCAACACTGGGCTCCAGGTGCCTGACCCACTCCCTGGAAGTACTGGGCAACCCCAAAATGTCATGGCTGGTGGGCAGGGCAGCCTGGAGCTCTCACCTTCAACACGGGGTGTACCTGGGACTTCCAGTGGATGAGGGTCAGCCTCTGGAGCTGCGAGAACCTGGGCCGACAGCAGAGGCAGAGCTGCACGGTGTTCCCACGCTGCCCGACAGCAGAGTCCCCACCCACCCCTTCCGCTAGGGAGACACACACTGCCGCCGACAGGAAGCCAGGGAAGAAAGAAAAGAGGGAAGGTCTCACCGATTGGGCATAAGCCACTCCAGGGAGGCGAGAAGCTTCTTCTCGGCCTTGGCTTCACTCTTGGCGAGGCGGCCAGCCGGCGAGGGTGACAGGGTCACGGTGTGCCAGAGCGCAGGCTGGGAGGCCGCCTGGTGCCAGCGGCGGCACACGCGAGCAGCCCTGGGAGGAGACCTGGGCTGAGGGGCTGCGACGAGACCGCTGTCCCCGTCGTCCTCACCAGGCTGCGGACAGCTCGGCTGCAGGGCCGGCCCTGGGCTCTCCGTGGACCCCCGAGAGGCTGCGCTCTGTCCCCCGCGGTGCCCCCGCCGCGGCCACCCGCCCGCTGGGCAAGAGGTCAGCTGGGCCGTGCCGCTGCGCCCCCCCGGGCCTGGGGTACCTGCCGAGGAAGGGCACGGGCCCATCGGCCGCCACCAGCAGCCCGAAGATCTGCAGCAGGATTTCCAGGGGGATGCGGTCGCCCCAGCCCGGGTCGGGCCCCGGCGGCGGCTCCGGGGCGGGCGCCGTTCTAGGCCTGGCCTTGGCGCCCGGGGCGCGAGGCGCGGGGGCCAGCTGCCGCTGAGCGCGGCGGGCGGCGCGCCGGTGCACGCGGGGGCGGGCAGGCCCCGGGCCGGGCAGCACCAGCAGCATGCTGTCCGACTGCAGCAGGTGGTACCCGGAGCCGCTCGGCGCCAGCCGGTCCCACCACCAGTCCTCGGCCGAGCGAGCCCGCTCCCCGGCCGGCTGCGCGCCCCGAGCCCGGCGCCGGGCCCGTCGCGCCGCCCCGGCAGCCATAGCTCCCAGCCGAAGCCCCGGGCCGCCCCGGGGCGGCGGAAGAGGCGGGTCCCGCGGCGGAAGGGCGGGGCCTGGGCCGACACGCCCCGCGCCCGACTTCCGAGGCGGGACTTCCGGCTGCGGCCTTGCGGGAGGCCGAGGTGGGCTGGGCGGCCTGCGGCTTCCTGCGGTCCTGGCTGTGGGGTGGGCGCTCGGTCCGGCTGGGCAGCGGTTCCCGGCTCCGGGCCCGAGGCGCCGCCCGTGGAGCGCAGCGAGACGCCTGGCTGTCGGGGCTGGGGGCGCTCGGCAGCTCTGCGCCGCCCACCGGACACCGCGAGGGGCGGTGCGGGGCCCCGCCCCCTCCCCGCGGACACGCCCCCTCCCCGCGGACCCGCCTTCGCTCCCGCCGACCCGGAGCTCGCAGAAGCCTGGGACTCTCCACCGGGGCGGAGCGGCAGCCGAGGTGTGCGCGGCGCTGGGGATCCACGTCCCGGGTCCGGGTCCGCCCCGGGGGCGGGCGGTGGTGGCCCGAGCAGCGCAGGCGGGGCGTGGGGCCCCCTCCCCGCGTGCTCCCGGGGCCCCGCGGAGGCTCCTCCTGCCGCGAGCGCGTTCCGGGTGCGCCTCCCCGGCACCATCGAGGCCCGCTGGCCCCGCTCGTCGCCGTGCAGGTCTGTCTGACGTGTGGCCCCGCGTCCGCGTCTGTTTTCTTCGAGGTGCCAGAGGCCTTGGGGTCGCGGCAGAGCCGGAGCGTGCGCTCGGGCCGAGGCGGGGGCAGAGGAGCAGGCCGTGACCCTGGGCTGTGCTGCGGGGCCCAGCGCGGGCCGGATGGCAGCACCCCCGCTGGGCCGCCTGGTGTCGACACACCTGCTGGTGGCCCTCTTTGGCATGGGCTCTTGGGCTGCCATCAACGGGATCTGGGTGGAGCTGCCCGTGGTGGTGAAAGACCTTCCCGAGGGTGAGCGGGGCGTGCAGGGGGCGCGCAGGGGGCGGGGGTCGGCCGCCCTGAGTCGCCCTGAGCTGCCGCCGCTCACCGCTGCTCTCCCCTTCCGCAGGTTGGAGTCTGCCGTCCTATCTGTCTGTGCTGGTGGCGCTGGGGAACCTGGGTCTGTTGTTGGTGACTCTGTGGAGGCGGCTGGCTCCGGGCAAGAGCGAGCGGGTCCCCATCCAGGTGGTACAGGTGCTGAGCCTGGTGGGCACAGCCCTGCTGGCCCTGCTGTGGCACCATGTGGCCCCCGTAGCGGGGCAGCTCCGCTCTGTGGCCTTCCTGACGCTGGCCTCCGTGCTGGCCCTGGCCTGCTGTGCCTCTAATGTCACCTTCCTGCCCTTCCTGACCCACCTGCCACCTCCCTTCCTGCGCTCCTTCTTCCTGGGTCAGGGCCTCAGCGCCTTGCTGCCCTGTGTGCTGGCCCTACTGCAAGGCGTAGGCCACCTCGAATGTCTGCCAGTCTCTGCCAATGGCACCCTCTGGCTCCCCAACGACTTCCCAGAGCGTTTTCCCGCCAGCACCTTTTTCTGGGTGCTGACCGCTCTTCTGGTCACTTCAGCTGCTGCCTTCCAGGGTCTGCTGCTGTTGTTGCCATCACCACCATCTGCATCCACAGCAGGTCTGGGGTCTGACCTGCGGGTGAGGACCCCAGGAGTGGAGGAGGAGGAGGAAGAGGCTTCACCGCTTCAGGAGTCACCGAACCAAGCAGCAGGCGCCCCTCCCAGCCCAGACCCTGACGCCCATCGGCTGCTCTCCGTCCACAGTGCCTGCCTGCTGGGCCTGCTGGCCATCACCAATGCACTGACCAACGGTGTGTTGCCTTCCGTGCAGAGCTTTTCCTGCCTGCCCTATGGCCGCCTGGCCTACCACCTGGCAGTGGTGTTGGGCAGCGCCGCCAACCCTCTCGCCTGCTTTCTGGCCATGGGCGTGCTATGCAGGTATGAGGGTCCCCGGCTGCTTGGGGTGGAGTTTAGGGATGAGCGCTGGGTTGTGGTACAGCCAGTCCTGAATTTCTGCTCACCCGTGTAGGTCTCTGGCAGGGCTGGGTGGTCTCTCTGTGCTGGGCATGCTCTTTGGGGCCTACCTGATGGCACTGGCAATCCTGAGCCCTTGCCCACCCTTGGTGGGCACCTCTGCAGGGGTGGTCCTTGTGGTAAGTCTGCTGGGAATACTGAGGCAAAGTGGTTGCGGTGGTGGTGGTGGGGGTTGCCCCAGAGCAGGGAAGATCTCACGCTCAGCCTGCTGCTGTGTCCATCCTTCAGGTGCTGTCATGGGTACTGTGTTCGGGTGTGTTTTCCTATGTGAAGGTGGCCGCGAGCTCCTTGCTGCACGGTGGCGGCCGGCCGGCACTGCTGGCAGCTGGAGTGGCCATCCAGGTGGGCTCCCTGCTCGGTGCTGTCGCCATGTTCCCTCCCACCAGCATCTATCACGTGTTCCGCAGCGGGAAGGACTGTGTGGACCAGTGTGGCTCCTAAGCCTGGGTGGATAGGGACCTGACATTGGGCTGAGATGCCGCAGCACCCAAGTGCTCAGAGTCCAAGGAGGCCCTCCTACACATGGGCGTACTAGTGGACACCTGTACACTCCATAGCAGACACTGGTCAGGGTGAGGACCGCAGAGCAGGCCCAGAACCAGGGTCCGGCTAGGGCTGTGGACTTGGCCTGAGATCTGGAACCCGTGTGGGCTTTACACAATAAATCACTGTTACTCCATGGATCCGAGTAGTTACCTCCTGTAGTGTCTTTGTGCAGGTGGACGTCTGCTGAGCTGGAGGGATGACTTGAACCATTCGGTAGGGCCCCCCCGCCTCCTGGCTGCTCATAGATTCTGGGGTTGCGGCCTCTGAGCCCTGGACTCTGCTGCCCACCCCCCCATTGCTTGTTGGAACTTCCTCCCGAGGACTGACTACCGTGGTCAGAGGCTCGTGGTGCCCACCCGACACCAGCTTCCCCGGGATCTCCCGCCAGGTGGTGGGGCCTCTTCCTGTGGGGGCCACTGCTCTGCAAGCCTCCGGCTGTGTGGTAGGCAGAGCCAGCGAGGTGCGAGGGTCCCGCAGGGGGCTGCTGCTTCATTGTGGTGGAGCAGTGGTAGCGTCTGGTCTGCTCGTGCGAGAGGATCCTCTTGTGAGGCCCAGGCACTGTGGGGGCTCCGTCAGTAGGGCTTTGAGGACACTGGGGTCTAAGGTTCTGGCCAACTTAGGGATCCTTCTGGTCAGGAGCATTGCTCCCTTCCCTGAGCCACAAGCGGCTAGTTTCTGGCTTCTTTCTGTGATCAAATGTGCAAATGCCGCACACTGCATTCAGACAGGCACATGCCTTCTCCTGGGGCCTCTGACCAAGGGCCCCTGTCCCTGAGCAGCTCACACCTGCCCCGGCCCTGGGACAGCGGTTGGGCCTCTGCTTGGGTAGCGTCTGCAGGGAGCAGAGCCTTAGGCTGTGGCCTGTGCTGCTCTGGGTGGTCATCCTGCATAAAGAGCTGGAAGGGACCTGATAGAGGGCCAAGGCCACGGCCAACAAGGCCTCAGGATGTGTGGGCAGACGCTGCAGTGGGCAGGGGCTCGGGCTTCCTGGGCAGGCAAGAAGCGGAGGCCCGTGGGGGGACCCAGGCTCCCCAGGGGAGGCGGGACACCTGAGCTGTGCTCCAGCGGGGCTGGGTCTGGCATTGGGATCCTGTCTCCGCCATTCTGCAGTGGGGACCGTGCAGCTCGGGTGGGTGGTGGGTGCTGGGAAAAATGGCTCCTGCTCCCATTTCCCCGGCTCCTTCCCACGATTGTCCTGGTTTCCGGAAGCCCTTTTAAACTTCAGAAGCTGCCTGTCCTTGACATGGCCCGCACGTGGGCCTTTGAAGGTCCCAGGCAGGACCGACCAGAGGACCAAGGGGGGCACCCGAGGCCTTGGCCCCTGAGCCTGTGGTCTGGGGCTGCATCAAGTATTGGGAGGGCCCGGGCTCCCAAGTGGCTCAGACACAGCGCGGCCCTGAGAGCGGGAGGCCCCTGCCAGGTCCCAGGCTCCCAGGACGTTGGCCGGCCTAGAGGAGGAGCAGGGGCCGCGGGGGTTCACCTGGCTGTTCGCCTGTGGGAGTCCGGGCTGGTCGGTGGGGTGTGAGTGTGGAAGCCGCTGTCTGTGGTGGTGAGTGGACAGCTTCAGAGGGAGGAGGATAAGGACATGAGCATGGGCACACCCTCATCCCCCACCCCCGGCACCCTCCCTGCCCACCTGGGGCTGGAGCCGCATCCCGGTTCCCGCTCTCTTCCGTCAGGCGATCATCAAAGGCGTTTGCAAGAGCCTCATCTCTGCCCACGTGAGCACGTGGGCCAGGTCCACGGGCCACAGAGAAGTGAGACCCGGTAGGACATGCACGCTCTCCTGGAGAGGGGGCAGGTGGCCCTGAACCTGGGGACCAGGGCTGGAGTGGACAATTTGAGGAAGCCACTGCCCTTAGAAGCCTCAAGGGCCTTCCTGTCCCTGCCTGGTAGGAAATAACAAGGGGAGGGAGATGCTCAGGGCCAAGTCCCTGAGAGTTGCCCGGCACACCCTTCCTACCCACAGTCCCCCAGCACGGGGTCTGATCACAGGGCACCCACGCTTCCAGCTGGACAGCAGGTGGCCAGGGACCCCGCCTCACAGCCTTGCCCAAAGGGGCTCAAACCCAGGGCTGGGGGCCCATGGAAGGAGACCCCAGAGGGCAGGCAGGGGCCAAGGCAGGACCTTTGACCACTGGTTGTCCACAGGAGCACTCCTGGGGAAAGAGCAAGGCCTGAGCCACGGGGCCGCTGTGCCTGTCCCACCACCGGGGGCAGGCCGCTCGGCTCCTCAGAACCAGGGAAGGGCCAGCGAGGCCTCGGCCTGCCACATGCAGGTTCCTTTCCTGGTGAGTCCTCAGGACAAGCCCTGCCTGCACTTGGTGGAATGACAGAAGAGCCTTCGCCTGCCTTCAGTTCTGCGGTTCTCGGCCTACGGGCTCCCCAAGGGGGTGTGATTGTCAATGTATGTAACCAACCTGGGTAATAAAAGGTTGTGTCCGTCCATTAGCATCTGCTCAGAGCCTCCACTGCGTGACCTGGGGCCACGGGACCGTCTTTAAGGGGCTTCCTCTTCTCCATGGAATTCAAAGGGAATTTGAATTCCTAGTTTTTGTGAGAACAGAAAATGGGAATATGGAGCACCTGGAACCCTGGCCAGAGAATGGATGCAGGTCATCGGCCATTCCAGCATCAGCCACTCTGGCTATGTCCACCCTGTCTCAGGGAGGCTACGTGCCTGAGGTCCTGAGGCCACTGTGGCCTCCCCCTCTCCCAGCACTGGCCTCCTTCCAGGGGGCTCAGAGGCTAGTAGGATTCTGATGGGGTGCTGCTGATTACAGGACCCCCTGCCCCCACCCTGTGGTTGGGTGGGTGACCCCGCTGATCCAAAGGTGCGCCCATCCTCCTGCCCTCATGACTGAACTGGGGACACTGCCTCTGTGGAGCAAATCGGTCTACTGTGACATCTGTCTGAGGATCTCAGTCCTCCCAAAAGCCATAAAAAGCTACCCAAACTTCCCGGAGCAGACCCGAGAAGGAAGGCGCCGCAGAGGCAAGCAGGGTGAGAGATGCAGAGGCAGGACCCAGAAAACATGCTGGCATCATCCGGACCCAGGTGGTCTAAAGCGAGACCCACGGGCTTCCCAGCTGTGTAGGCCCATAGTTTCTTGCCCCAGCCCAGGGCATGGTGGGTCCCGCCTCCCTGAGTACCCAGGACAGACGGACCATGGGACACCCGGCACCTGCCTGGGGGAACGGCGGTCCTGTCTGGGCAGCTCTCCCCGGCACACCTGTGACCTCCTCTCCTAGGCCTCTGCCTCCAGCTCTCCTCAGAGGGCTCCCCTGCCCTGCTCCTGCCCTGCAAGGGAGAGAGCCCTGGGGAGTCACCCCCTCGCATCTGCCCCTCTCGGAGGAGCCAGGCCAGGCAGGGAGCCGGCAGGAACTTCCTTGGCCAGGCCTCCCTGACCAGGGTGCCAGACGTGCGCAGGGGAAGGCTTCTCTGTCCACACAAGAGGACGAGCATTTTAATTTGCTGAAAGACAAGCTGCAAACAACTGTGGGATTTCCATCCCTTTGCAAGGGTGGTGGGGAAACAAAGCTAATTCAAAAGCAGACTGGAAAAGATTTCCTCCCGGGCCCTCCTGGCACCCCTGAGCCTCCCCACACGTTCCCTTTGCTGTTGTTTAAGTAGGCTCTACGCCCAGCACCCAGCCCGATGCAGGGCCTGAACTCACGACTCAGATCAAGACCTGAGCCTAGATCAAGGGACTGAAGCCTAAACGACTGAGCCACCCGGGCGCCTCCACCTACACTCCTCGTGGGGTCATTCTGTGGGTGGCCCCACCCTGACCGCTGAGCTGGTGAGCGTCCACTCTGCACGCGGTGGCTGCAAAGGGAAGCCCCAAGCACCCAAGGCAGGCCCGAGCACCCGGGGCAGGTCCTGAGCACCCGGGGCAGGTCCCGAGTACCCAGGGCAGCCCCGAGCACCCGAGGCAGGTCCCGAGCACCCAGGCAGTCCCGAGCACCCAGGGCAGCCCCGAGCACCCGGGCATGAGAGCGCAGGGAGGAGAGGAGAAGGTGTTCACTGGGGGCCACGGTGCAGAGGGGAGGACAGCTGGCGGGCAGCCGAGCCGGGGGCTGGGAACCGGCACTGAAGAGCCAAGCCCGTGGTGAGGCCGCCGGTCCGCAGAGCCCCGGGAGCCAGGCGGAGCGGGCGGCCAGGCGGTGGAGGCCGGGAGCCTGGAGCCCGTCACCGTCCCCCCCGAGCCCTGCCCCTTCGCCCAGGAGCGCGGCTGGCTTCACGTTTCTGGAGGGTCCACTGGTGGCAGGTGGATGGCCTGGTGAGCCGGGCCCCTCTTCAAGGGAGCTGCTGGGAGCCACAGGAGGAACTTCCCTGTTTCTGTGAAATGAAGAGTCACCAGCCCCACCCGTGGGCCACTAGGCCAGAGGTCGGCCAGGCCCGCCACCCCTGGGACTCCCCTCTCCCTGGATGTGCTGGAGGCCCCGGGGCTGGGGCAGGGAGGGAGGGGGTGTGGCTCCTGGTCCCTGGGAGCTGCCATCGCAGCTGGCGCTGGAGAGCCTGGGGGGCAGGACCTCGAGGGACTGGGCTCTGAGGGGGTGGCTCGTGGGGACCAGGTGCTGGGGTAACAGGAGATGAAGCTCGGGGTCTGGGGGTTGGGCTGGGACAGAGTGGAATGGGCTTTAGGGGGACTGGGAGTCTGGGGGACCTGGGGACGGAAAAATCACAGGCACTTGGTGGGGGGGTGTAAAAGGGTTAAGACTGAGTGAGGCCTGAGCACCCAAGAACGGGTTCCTGGTGTCTAAGGACGGCCGCGCTCTGCAGAAAGCGTATCATCCCAGGGTCTCTGATTCATAAGGTCGGTGTCTCTCCTCGTCTTCAAGCCACTTTACAAACTTGTGTTTGTAAATGACTAGTAGCGATGTAACTGTCAGCTGATTTCCCTCCTCCAGTCGTGGAAAAAGCCGGTTTTGTATCCATATGTAAGTTAATTCCAACAATCCCTCATTCTGCCCGGATTTATGATTCTTGGACTTCTTTGAAGCAGTTATAACATTCCTGAATCTCTTAAAGAATGACAAAATCTTTGACTTGTGTTCATTTTATATCTGTATGAGAGTTATGACTCTGCCTTTTTCTGTAAGTTATCCTGTAAACAGTTTTGGAGGTTTTCCA